CACAGCCATCCCCTACTGTTCAAAACTCACAATGTCCCAAAGGTCCTCCAATGTGTGGGTCAGGAAATGTAGTGAAGTCTTCCAGCTCCAGCTGGCCGAAAGTGGACACAGCAACAGGTGTGCAAGCGAAAAATTGTGTACGGATAATCCTTCAGTCTTTTCTGCCCGTAAATTATTGACTGGTATGGAGAAGTTCCCCAGAGGGCTTAGGGAGAGGAGATCTGTTTTCTGGCATTTATTCTGTACTAATTCCTTGCTTATTTGTTCCTCTTCCCCTGTGAGACTGTAAACCCTCTAGAGTTGGGCACATTTTATTTATACAAAATTAATTCACATATTTAGCACATGTATACTGAGCTCTGAATATGTTCATTACCAAAAAGGTTCTTGCATACCTGGTGTTTGTTTTCCAGTGGTGGAATGATGTGATGGTAGGTTAGCAACAAACTGATAAGCAAACAAATAAACAAAACAATTTCAGTGTGTGTTGAAGGTCACACTGAAAACATTCCATGTGTATTGATGAAGAATCATTGAGAGCATGGGTGAGTTGGGGCTACATCCCATCTCTTGGAGAAGGCAATATTTGCCTTAAGGCCCCAAGGATGGCAGTAAGATAAATAAAACAGAAATAAGTGTTTCGTGTAAAGGAAATGTCTAGTGCAAAGAATGGAAGCAGGATTTGACCCCTAAAGGAAGAGACATTTCTTAAGCCAGGTGGTGAAGACAAATACCATATGATCTCACTTATAAGTGGAACCTAATCAACAAAACAAACAAGCAAACAAAATATAGCCAGAGACAGTGAAATTAAGAACAAACTGACAGTAACCAGAGGGGAGGTGGGATGGGATAATGGTGGGAGGGGAAGAGGGAAGGGTTTTCAGGAACATCTATAAAGGACACATGGACAAAACCAAAGAGGGATGGGATCAAGGATGGGGGGTGGGGATGGCTGGGGTGGGGGTAATGGTGGAGGGGAAATGGAGACAACTGTACTTGAACAACAATAATAAAAGTTAAAAAGTTTAAAAAAAGAATAGACATTTCTTCAGGCCATTGAGCCTCTCAAGCTTAACGAGCAAAGGGGAGACAAAAACATAGCCTAGTCATAGAAGTCCTGCTAGGCAGTGAGAAAGCATTTGAATTTAACTCTAAGGACCAAATGTCAAATTTGTGCATAACGCTATGTTTTCCTGAAGAGAAACTTCATAGATTTCATCAGATTTTCCAAAAGACTCCTCCCCCAAAAGTTAATATACCTGATGTAGAAGAAGAAGAAAAGGAACAGATCCTTCAGAATACACAGCGTGTTCTTCCAGAATTCAGAGAACTACTTAGGAAAAAAGTACAAACAATCATCCATGAAGAGGGCAAATGGAACTTGGGATATTATCTGTGAAATCTAAGGAAGTAGACAGCTTTAAGTGTCCCCAAAATGTGGTAGAAACATGCACAGAAAGGTGAGTAGTGAGCAGTGAGGGGAAACTTGGGGTTCTCATGTTTTAGAAACCAAGTTCACAAACAACTACACAATGCATTAGAGGTATTTGAGAATAACAAGGACTTTTTCCTCTCATTTATACAAATATATACAAGAGTTTTCCTAAATCTAAGTGTGACATAAAGCTATCTCAAATCTCCCTCAAGCTATGCCTCCAAAATCCCCCAAACCCATTTTGCAAATGCTTCTCTTTCTTGGAAATTTCCTCTTCCCTTCACCAAGGAGTTACAAGAAAAATAAAAGCTAATGGGCATTTTGCTGAACTGATTTTTAAATTTTCTCACACCTTTCCTGTCTGAACCACCTAGAAGATATGTAGAGATGGTTTAGAAGGATTTGGACTTGTTAATTAACCTAAATAGTTACATTGGTCTGCAAGGTCCATTGTTGCTAATTAAAACTGCAATTCTCCTTGTGCCCAGATGGAGGGCTGCTGATGTCAGAATAATTAGATAGCATATGATGGTTTTCTTGCAAATCCCTGGCAATTGGAATTTGCAATGGGTTGGATTTAAAATCCCAGTGAAGTTCTCAATTAGAATTCCTCTGGGGTTGGCTTCTGAAAGCTGATAATGGGTCTGGACAGGGTAAAGGGAAATAGGTATAGATAAAAGGGTGTAAAGACCAGCTACTTGTTTCCTAAATCTTCTGGGAGGGGCCTGAGCTTGGAATAAATGAACTATGGGCATCAATGTGATCTTCAACCTTCCCTTAAGAAATAAATCTTTTTCCTTAAAGAAGCTTTGCAGACTGAACCTCCCCAGAGCGTGTGTGCTCCCAAGAGCCTGTTCCTTGGTTCTCATCTTCCTGAATGGATTTTTTTTTCTTTAGTTTGGAGGTCCAATAACTCATACATAGCAAAAGTCCCTGCCAATCCTGGAATTAAATTCTTAAGGGTTCTAAGAAAACAGGATCTGTATTCCTGAAAGGCTGCAGAAAAGAAGCCAGATTCAGAATAATGTTCAGAATAATGGTTGGTGGCGTACAGTGGGTTAAATGGAATAGGATAACAGAACTCTGAGGAAAGCCTTAAAGTAGTAACTGTGGTTAGGGTTAGACTTTCTGAAGAGCTATCCAAATACAGCCTAGATAATAACAGGTAGAAGCAGGCCCCGGAGATACTAGGACAAAGTTGGCAGGGTGGAATGGGAAAGAGATAACTGTAAGAAGGTATTTCCAACCACCTCTGACCTCTTTTTGACTTCAGATTTTTACTTCTGCCTTTCCTTTGTGAGAGATGTAATATCAGTTGAATTATCTGGGGTTCTCTTTAACTGGTCTGAAAAAGGAGGTACTTTTACCTGGAGGCACAAGCTGGGGATGGGGGTAGATAAAACAACCCTAATAATCTTAAATTAAGTTTCACTTGCTTCAGGTTAACAATGAAAGATTCAGCAAGTTGAAGACACTCTTGCCTTCCCCTTAACTAAGTCAACCTACTCCAATAATTCAGTACCTTGCACGTAAGTTGAGCAATGTCTGTTAGGACTGAGAGGCTGGAGGGGGAATTATGAGAGAAGACTGAAAAGAGAGTGAGAGAAAACGAAAACACTGGAACTCATTCATGAACTGTGGCTGAAGACCTTAACATAATTTAGGTTTGTGTATTATTTTTCTTCCTAATTTTCTTTCCCTTCCTCTTTTAGAATGTCTCCCATATCTTAATCAGTCCCTAAATCCCATATTTCAATTTAGGTTGCACAGTAAGAAGCTAACCTAGTAGTTACAAAGAGACAGGAGGTTGGGGTGGGGAGGGTTAGAGGGTTTGTTACTGCCCCCGCCCAGGAAAATTTCCCAGCCCTTTTGCACAACCTGCCTAGGATACTCTAGCTCATCTCTGTTTCTCTCTTGCACTCTGCTAGATATCTCCAAGCCTAAAAAGTTAAGCAGAATTGGTGTAGGGCAGGAGCCAGATGTAGCTCATCTTTGAAAAATGGAATGACCACATTTGTATTCAGATGTAAGAATATCCTCTCAAGTTTCCCCCATTTTTATTTGTTGGAGAAACTCAAATAAACACATTTTGTCTGTTTGTGCATTTGTGTGTGTGATCTTGGGTAGTGTGGACTTGTTGGTAGCAGTAGAAGTTGTTCCCCTAATCTAGAGAGACCTTTTCATTGTTCTTCCCATCCTCACCTCAATGTGGCTATATAAGGGTTGAGAAAAAGCCTCCAGGATCAAGATTAACAGCCAAAAAAATCAGGGGACATTTAAGGAAGAGGTGTCCAGAGTATAGGGGTACAGTGTGGAAGATAAATGCAAAGATTTGTATGGAAAAGAAAGGCTTATTCCAAGAGCTGGGATTTGAAAGGGACATTTTGGGGATTCTAAGCAGAAATGAATCAGGTCAGACCCCTTCCCCTTTAAGTTTCTCATGTTGCATGACTTCTTGATTTGTAGTTCCCTCTACACAACCTATGCAGAAAAGACTAGGCACAGAAATGGGGGGTAAAGAAAACTCAAGGGTAGGGAGTGAGTGTGTCATAATTCCTGATTCCATATTCTGAGAACAAGGATGAAGAGCAGAATAAAGTAGAGGGAGTGCTGATAGGTCAGAGCACACACATAGTATGTGCAATTCACACACTGATGGAGAGGAAAGAAGGCATGTCAACACACATTACATTCATGCAGGTATCATGGATGTGGGTTTGACACACATGTGATACAGATGTACATGCGCACATGTGTACACACACAGGCATTAATGCACAGGTAGCAAACATAAGGCCCTCGGTCCAAATCCCGCCCCTCCATCTTGTGTTATCTGGCCCGGCACCTTGCTTCTACCTGGTGACAGTGCAGAGCTCTCACTTAACTGTTAAGGAGCAGTGACATTTATACAGTCCTAAAATTACATTCAGCCTTTTGAAGGCATCTGCAAGGCTGATGTGGCCCTCCCTAAGTGAAAGTGAGTTTGACACCCCTGGATTAAAGTCATGATGAGGAATCAAGTTCAGAGAGATGACTCCTAGGTAGTGGCTTCTAGATATTTTGATAGATTCTCTGAACTAAGTAAGGTTTCTCCCCACCCTTCCCACCACCACCATGATCTCTTAAAAGAGCCAATAGATGTCAGAAAGACAAAAGGCACACAGGAAGGTAGAACAGTGAAGACAGGGAGGAGATGTCATGCTCGGAGCTCATCTTCACTTCTCTGCTTTGCTTTCTCCAGTTTCTATTTTTCTTTCATTTGTTTTCTATAGCACTTTCTCTTCTTTCCTTACCTTCTAAGCTATCTCTTACAGTTTTTTAGGTTTAGTTGCTCCCCTCATACTCTTGTCTTCTTTCTCTTCCCCTGTGGAAGAGATGGCAGCAACTCCACACCTCCAGAGAACACCTGTGTGCCCAGAGGATGTTTTTACATCATTAACTTTCTCCTCAAGCCAACCAGAGAAACACATGCTAGCAAGACAATCTGACATGAAATCTCTCTTTCATCATTTTCCTTCCCCTTCTCTGTGTCTTGAGATAAAATAAGAAACCACCAGCTTTATAAAAGCAATGTAGACTTTAATTCAGGTTGGCAGGTGGAAGAGAGCTAAGATTTTCCTTCAAGGGTGTCCAGATGGGAGGACTGTCTCGTTGAGACAGACAAGGAGGGCATGGAAGTACGAGTGGCCCGGTGGCAGAACAGAGCCAGGAGAAAAGGTGTAGCCACACAGTGCATTATTGCCAGGACTTCTGCCAGGTCCAGCAGCAAGTCCAGGGCCTGCTGGGCTGGACATGATGCTAATACCAAAAACTTGGACCTCACTAGGGAGTCCAATCCCCGAAGTACTCCATGAGGCCACCAGAAAATGAACCAGACCCATAGAATATCAATCCAGGGGCATGGCTCCCTGTCTAATAACTTTTTCAGGCCCTTGGTTCCCAATAAACCCAGTGGCAACAGGAAAAAGATGGCAAAACAAGCAGCAGCGTGCATAAACTGCAAAATGTCCTGGCTGAATGTCTGGGTGCAGAGTCCATTGGAAGTGTCACTGGTCAGAGTGATTGGCAGCCCCAATAGAATTGCCACTCCCCAAAGTCCCACAGTGAGCCCCAGAGTGAGGCCTGGGACATGGTTTGTACCCAATATGGGGCCCAGGCAGGCATGGCAGCCTAACAGCAAAGCTTGGGCAAAAGCTGAACCATACCAGACCAAATGGCCCAGGTGGCACAGGTGGGTGTCATGGACACCACTTAGCCCTGGTGCCAGGATGGGCACTGAGATGCTGAAGAGGGTACTGCCCACAGCTAACTGTATAAGGATCTTCCAGCCAGGACACAGCTGCCAGTAAAATAGAGGTCTGAGAAAAGCAAACAGGACAGCTGTACTAGCTAGGATACCCAGGACACTGGCGAGGATGTAGAAAGGCAGTGAGGACTCATCCAGCAGTTTACAGGAGCGGCAGGGGGCAGCTGCTTCCAGTCCAGTGTAGTTATAGTCACCAGGTCCGTAGGAATTATTCCAATCAATGAAAAACTCATCTTCAAAGTTAAAGTTACTCGAGTTGTCACCAGTGAAGGAGGAGGAGTCCACCTGGAGGATATCCCCAGAGGGGACAATCAGAGCATCCAGTTACTCTACTGAAGAGTCTCTGGGGAACTAAAGGGAAAGGGAAATGGAGGACAGAGGGGACCCTGGGGCTGGAGAACAAGGGGGCTATAGGAGTTTGGTGCAGTGGGGATGATGGTAAAAGACAACACAGTTGAGACTCAGGAGTCAGTGGAGAAGCAGGGTGATGGAAGAGCAATGGAAAGGCAGTGGGTAAGACTGGAGAGCAGGGGAAGGTTGGAGGGAGAGTAACCAGGGGCCTGGATGGACTAGCTGAAAGGCAAATGAGGAGGAAAATAATGGGAACCTAGGAGACTGTGGTAAGAAGGAGAGAGGGAAAAAAGGAAGGGATAAGAGATGAGGATGAAAGGAAAGAGGTATAAAGACAGAGGGGTAGTAAGTGCAGAGGTGGGGGTTGTGGGTCCCTCCCCACACTCACCCGTTGCAAACAGTTCCCCATGACACTGCTGGGCTCAGAGCAGGCAGAGAAGGACTGGGACGGTTTTGTCACCTGCTGTGGTTCCAAGATAAGTGCCAGGGACTAGTGAGGACCATCAGTTATGAGCGGGGCCATGGGTGGCATGGGGAGGGGCACATTCAGGAAGGCTTTACCCCACACCCATTGCCTGCGTAACCTTCAGTCCCACATAGGGCATTGGCCTAAGGCTTCCTGTTTTGAGGTTAGATTCCACTGGTGGGGACCTGCATTCGGGAAAGGAAAAAGGTGGGGACCAGAAAATAGGTATTTTCCCAAGAGTGGAAAGGGAAGCTAGAAGCCAAGGGGCTTCCCAGCAAGTATTTTAAGCACAAGGAAAGAAGTTGGGGCCAAGGGTGAAGTGTGAGACAGAGATAAGGGGCATGCTGGGAAGTTGGAGGGAAAGGCAGTTGACTCTCACTGTCTATTCCCTTGAACTTGAGCCAATGAAAGATAGTTCAAAAGTCAAGTGTTTATAGGAAGGAGTATTAGTGGCACTATGGCTGGATCCATTAGATGCTGACAAGCTGAGTAGAATGTGGGTGGGGGTTCTATGTATATTAGTCTGGGTGTAAGAAGGGGTTCATTTATCTGTGTGTGGCTGTATGCTGTGTACTGTGTGCAAATATCTAAGGCATACATCTGGGTATGAGTCTGAATTTTTCAGTGTAAGAGGAGGGAGGGCTGCATAATGAAGCTACTTCAGGGACCAACTAGGTATTTGCCTCATCATCTATGGGTACAGTGAAGGTATCTTTCATAGCAAGCAGAACACATGGTCTAAGTTAAAGCAGGCTCTGGGGGACAATGGGACAATATATTCTTAAATGGGCCTGTTGACTCTGGGGTAATCTCTATTCATATTTCTGTGGGGAATGCAAAAGCTTTGGAACTGCTACATTGACCTAGCATCTCAGCAGTGTGTAAAGTCCCTTTTGTGGGGAGAACTTCTACCTCTCTCTAATTGGCTGACAGAAAGGATATCTACCCTGTAGGTGAATCCCCCTAAGCCGACATGATGATTCTTTGGTAGCCCCTTTCTCCCCAGTTGCTTTCCCATGGACTCTACTGATTCACCCCCCTTCACCCTAACATTTTATTTCCTGTTAGGGAGACTGAGGCTGGACATTTGCAAATGGTGAGTCATGGAGTGTTCAAGTCAGAAAGGTGAGATAGAGAGGGCTGCTTTGGAACAGTTTCATTGATCTAAGAAAGCATGTGATACTTTAACTCCAATTCTGCTAAGCAGCTCCTTCCCATAAAGGGGTGCCTAGATGTGGATAGGAAAGCCATGTTGCAAAAGAATGTGGATCTTAAAAAGACCATCCCCTTTTCTCCCAGGATGCTAGCTCCAGTTTCAGGTTCAACATGAGGGGGTTGGAAAATGATTTGGGGGGTCTGTTGAAACTGTCCTGGAATGATGTTGGAGGCATCTTCACCTTCATCTCCACCTTCTCCAGTCCTGCCTGATGGAAGGCAGTGGGAGCAGCCAGATGTCCCATCCCAAACACTCTCTGGAAAGGAAGGGCCAAGCCAAAGGGAGTGAACACACTTCTCTCCCTTGGAGAGTTATATTGTTTCCATACAGAGATGCCCTTGGGAGAGTGGCCTGGTGAGGCACACACCACCCCCAAAAGTACCAGGTGTTGGGGATTCCAGCAAAGCAGCCCTTATAACGTATCCTCACAGGAGCAAGAGCGGCAAGGAGGCAGCCCAGCGACACGGTGATCCAGATATATTGAGGGTGCCCCTCTGAGATTAGCATAGGAGAGTTAGAAAGGTTATAAAGATACACGATCCCCTCCCTACTCCCTTCCCCACACCCCCCACCCACAAACAAACACACACAGCACAAGGGTCCTCTTCCCCCCGCCCCCAGTACAAATATGGCTTCTGTGTAATATGGACAGAGAGACTCAGCTCAAAGACGTAAAGTCACTTTCCCCGAAGTGGGTGCAAGGAGACAGGGAAACCAATAGGTCTGGGGCCCTAGGCTGCCTTGCTGCTTTAAGAGGAGGGAGCCTTGGCTTAAGGGGGTGCTGCCTGTGGTGCCCAGGGCCCTAGCCAGATACCAGAAGATCCACAACAGTATTACCTGAACTGAAGGGGTGGACAGAGCTGCTGAATGCAGTTGCCCCCATTTTGCATGCCCCTGCATTGTCATAACAGGGAAGACATGCTGGAGGAGAGTGACAGTGGTGCCAAGGGACATCCTGGGTGTGAAAGAGGGTAGCTGGTTGCACAGTGAGTGAGCAAGTGAGCAACTCATCTCCATGGCAACCAGATCAGGCCAGGAAGGAAGACAGAAAATCAAAAGGAGGGATGGAAGTGGAAAGGAGAGAGGAAGTTTCACTCCAGCCCTCAGGTCACTGGGTACAGACTTTAGGGAAAAAGTGACAGCAGTTGTTCCAGGGCCAGGGCCAGGGAGAGGCCTGAGGGGTGCATAGTGAAGGCTGTGGCACTGACTCCACAACTCCAAGAAGGGAGATTGAAGCAGAGGTTCAATGCTCTGTATTTTAGAGCAAGACTATATGGACAACTGAGTACAAACACATCCTGGGACTGTTTTCTCCATGACAGATGGACACTGGGGGTGGCATGGAAAATGCCAGGATAGAGCAACCTCCCAGGGTAGTACTAAGCTGGCTAGGTATTCTCTGCTCCCAAGGTCCATGTTTACATGTCCCACAGCTCGCCCACCTGCCCAGGACCTGCCTCACTGCCTCTCACACACAGATGTGCACACACGCATGCACACAGAGTTCACATTATTTTCTTTGTTTAGGCAGGAAAGAGCTCAGTGTAGTGAAGCCTGTTTTTGTATTTTTGTGGTTATATCTGCCTGGCTGCTGGAGAAGGGAAGAAGGACTAAGGGGTGGCTTAGGACAGGGGAGTCAAACTCATTTTCACTGGGGAACACATCAGCTTCGAGGTTGCCTTCAAAGGGCCAAATGGAATTTTAGGGACTGTATAAATGTAACAACTCCTCAACAGTTAAGCGAGAGCTTGGTGCTGCCACTGGTATAAATAAGGTGTCAGGCTTGATAAAACAAGGCACAGGGCAGGATTATGCCTGAGGGCCTTGTGTTTGCCACCTGTTGCTTAGGAAGTGGGAGGGGTGGGAGGAGGAATTGGTGAATAATGCCATAAGAGGAGTGGTTGCCAAGCAACAACAGTCCAGGGGTTGGGTGGGAGTGAGGGACTCCTGGGCAGAGAAGCAGATGCAGTTGGGCCTGGAGCAGCACCTCTCCCACAGCTGCTGGAGCAAGGAGGTGCAGCCTTGCCCTGCTATCCCCCAAGGGCAGTCCTGTGTAAAGGCCCTGGCTTTATATATCATGGGGATAAGGGGTATATGGGACCATCTCTGCCATCCTTTTTCTCTAAATCTACCCCTTCTGGCAGGGACCCACATCCTCCCCATGTGGAACCCCTATATCTCTGTGTGGCTGCATGCCATCTTCAGGTCACATCTCCTCAGGGATCCCCATTTATCCCTTTCCCACTGAAGTGGAACAAGGGCATCAGAGAGGCACCTGTGTCTCTGTCCACAGCTCCAGGTATGTGACTATCAGCAGAAGAAAGGCCAGCTCCTGCTCACAACTTCCCCATTCCCAGAGAAGTCCAGGAAGCTGCTCTGTTGTACAGGATAGAAGTTTGGTGAGAGTCCCTACTAAATCAGCCCTGCTCCTTCCTATCCTTACCCCTCCACCCTCATTCTCCTCTTAAAGCTCCAGGGTTTTTTTGCTCTCTTCAACCCAGAGCCCCTGTACCTCCAGCCTGAAGACAAATTTGATTTGGGATACAAAAATAATAATAACCCAAACTCAAAGAAGCCACAGAAAGGGCTGAGGGCAACCCTTCTTCCCTGCCCACCCTCATCCCTCCCCATTCCAAACCTAGTACAAAACCGCACCCAAAGCAGACATTCTGTACAAGGGGTTGGGGGGGAACTGGGGAGCAAGCAGGAGGTGTGGCCCTGGGGTTGCTCTGTACAAGTCCAAGTTGGTTATGGCCCCAGTAGTCCCCATGGGGTCCCTGGAGGGGTGCAGGAAGTGGGTGAGCACCCTAGATGAAATATTCCTTCTTGTCGTCCCCGCCTGACTGCCCGCCTTCTGCGTTGATGATGGCTGTGTCCGCATCTGGGGCATCGTCAGAGCCTTTAGCCTCATGTGTCAGGTAGGTTCCTAGAGAGGAACAGAGGCTCCTCTTCTCAGGAGCAGTTTCCAAACCTTTCAATCTCCCCTTGCCCACTTTCCCACCCACCCATTCATACCTTGCTCCTGAATTTTTCTCCCATTTAGAGCTTTCTTCCTCCTCACCTGATCTAACTTGCATTTTGCTGCAACATCCCTCACCTGACCATATATACCCCTATGAATGAATGAATCCTGCCTTTAATTAGTGAATCTAATCAATGATATAGGCAAAAAATAACAGTGTGTGTATATGTGTGTATATGCCTGTATGTGCATCTGTGTGCCTGTGTGCATATATGTGCATGTGTATGTAGGTGTGCATGTGTGTATCTGTGTACATGTGCATGTGTGCATGTGTAAGGTGGTGCTAGAGAAACTGCCATGTCATCTCCATGTGCAATGTAGCTATGAGCTGACTAGCACTTGATCAGTAGGTACAGTCTGGCCGCAGCTGGAAGTCATAGCAAAAGGGGGTATATGAGAAGAAGGCATGTAAAGAGATGGTACAGAGATGTCGTGCATATAGGAGAAAAGAGAAAAGAAAGGAGATATTGTGGAGACTAAGGGCAAGGAGATTAAAGGCCAAGGGAAATGAAGCAAAACATAAAGGAAGAACATATATAAAGAAATGGGAGGAAGATGCAGAGTTTCTCAGTTCTCTGCTTATAGCAGAATATCCTTGTGGCAGAGCAGCATGGGAGCAGCAGCTTACTGAGTGGGAAGGTTTGATTTTACTGGATGATCAACAAGTGGTGAGGCTTTCAGGAGGGACTGGTGGTGCTCCATCATTACAGGATTGCCTGCATTCTTCTTTCTCAAACACTCATAGTGGCTGACTGGGTCTCCAAAGGTCATTCCTGCAGCCAGCTCCTACCTATCTGCTCCTGACCCATCTCCCTACCCACACCCAAGTTCTCCTGATACTTCCTTCACATATCTGACCTTTGTGCCGAATCAGGTAGTGGCCGAGGAAGATGAGCAGGATGAGCAGCAGAAAGACAATGAAAGCCACAATCCCACCAATGATGGCGTGGTAGGTGCTGGAAGATGAAGGCACCGGACTGTGGTCTAGAGGGAAGGGTCAATGCATACAGTCAGATCTGGGAAAACCCCTAATATTATAGCATTTCTAACCTGGTCATGGTAATCTTACACAGCAGAGAAAATATACTAACATTAGGAGAATGGAGTAGCATCATTAAGTAAAGGGGATATGTCTTATTTTGTACTCAGTTTTCTTACACAGTGTATGGAACATAGTAATGTTTACAAAAGTTAATGTATTTATGAGTAAATAGATACATATCCTACCCAATGATTAAAGATCATTACTTTAATGTTTAAATCATCTTTTGAGACTTCTCTCTTGCTCTCTCTTTTTCTCCCAGTCTCTTTACCTGTTTCTATATTTATTTCTTCTAATTTCTGGATTATCAGAGTACTCCTTCCCTATCCCCCAAGCCCTCTTACTCTCCCATTCACTTAATATTCCGAGATGGTTTCTCTACAAAGGCTTCTCAACCTGTTAACCCATTGCCCTGAGATCAGATAGACAAGGAGTAGTAAGAAACTGGATTTAAGAATCAGGTACTTTGACAACACCTTACAAGCTATGGCAGACTCTGACCTTCTGTATAAAGAACAGTGTTCCTTCTTGGCAGAGGAGTTTAAAGTTCCAGCAAAACCCAAGTCCTCTGGTAAGTCTCATCAGGGGGTCTGCAACTGCATTTTTACTTCCCACCACCCAAACATTTGTAGTAAATTGAATATTTTCTTCAAGGAAGTCCTGCCATGCTGCCTTCAATGATGGCCAATGTCTCTGCCAGCACAGATGGGCTAGGAATGTTAAGAACACCACTAGCCACATAGCAGCATCTCAAATACCTGAGAAGACACAGGCCCAGGATACAGTGCTGTGTCCAAAATACTCACCACAGATACGACTCTCCCCCCGCCCCCGTTGGAGAACTACTGTTTTCTCACAGACTCAACTTGAGTCTTGGTGCCTCATTGACTCCTTATTATATATTTTGTCTTTCCTACTTTGTCTCCTCAGGCTTGATTAGGCCAGCTTTTCAGTCTCTTGCCTATCTATGCCTTATTCGAAAATAAAACATTTATGCTCTGTTTTTAATGTTCTACTTGGAAGGGATGGAGAAATTAGGCCCAGGGGATCCATGACTTGATGGGGGGGGGGTGTTGATACCGTAAGTTGGAAGAAGGGGAATGAAGGTACCCACTGTCTTTCTCCTAGGGAGCATGTGAGACACTGCACATTAAAAATAAATCTTGGCTAATTATTATTGAGACTAAGGAAATAGAAATTCCCTAGAAAAACATAGGTTTCCATGGCCTACATGATCTCTTGGGTCATCCATGACAGGCCTGTCTCTAGGTGGAACACCATTTAATTTCATTCCAGGCAGGTGGGAACCAATAGTGCTTAGGATATTCCAGCAAGATGCAATAACCCATTCTACCACCAGGTGTCAGCACTGGAAGCAGTTCAGTCAAACAGGACAGGCTTTCCAGCACAAGTCTGGGAGGATCAGAAAGAAGCCAACCACAGAGCACAAGAAATTTCTCACGGCCAGTCATCATCACAGTTTGTCT